CCTCTCAGAGAGCTATTCTTGAGGAAAAAGCAGACTTGGGAGCATCACGCAATGCTTTCTCAGGGAGTTTGGTGGAATTGCATCTAAACATAAATACACGTCACCGGGAAGTGTGTCTGGCTCCACAAGTGGCTGTGGGCAGCAGATTTCACTCCAGCTGCATGCACAACAGTGCAGTATTTTTAAAGCCTTTTAAGTAAACACTCATATGGGTTCCCCATGAAGTCAGCATGCCCTCTTGCACCCACAGCTTCAGTGATGGCAAGGTCAGTCCCAAAATGAAGCTCTCACATGACCATGTGGGCTCTCAGGCAGCTCTCTGATGATGTCAGTAAGAAATAACAGAATCACAGAATCGTTTAAGTTGGAAAAGAACTTCAAGATCATCAAGTCTACCACTAAACCATGTCCCTAAGTGCCACATCTACACATCTTTTAAATACTTCTAGGTATTTAAATACCTCCAGTTATTTAAAAGAGGACTCCAGGACTCCACCACTTTCCTGGGCAGCCTGTTCCAATGCCGGATAACCCTTTCAGTAAAGAAATTTTTCCTAATATCCAACCTAAACCTCCCTTGGCACAACTTGAGGCCATTTCCTTGTGTTCTATTGCTTGTTGCTTGGGAGAAGAGACCAACACCCACCTCGCTACAGCCTCCTTTCAGGTAGTTGTAGAGAGCGATAAGGTCTCCGCTCAGCCTCCTTTTCCCCAGTCTAAACAACCCCAGTTTTCTCAGCTTCTCCTCATAAGACCTGTGCTCCAGACCCTTCACCAGCTTTGTTGCTCTTCTCTGGACATGCTCCAGCACCTCAACAACTTCCTTGTAGTGATGGGCCCAAAACTGAACACAGTAATCGAGGTGCAGCCTCACCAGTGCCAACTAGAGGGTGAGGATCAATTCCTCTTTCCTGCTGTCCACACCATTTCTGATTAAAGCCAGGATGCTATTGGCCGCCTTGGCCACCTGGCCACACTGCTGGCTCATGTTCAGCTGGCTGTTGACCAACACCTCCAAGTCCTTTTCCACCAGGCAGCTTTCCAGCCACTCCTCCCCAAGCCTGTAGCGTTGCACAGGGTTATTGTGACCTGGGTGCAGGACCCGGCACTTAGCCTTATTGAACTTCATGCCCTTGGCCTCAGCCCATCGATCCAGCCTGTCCAGACCCCTCTGCAGCTTTCCTATCCTCAAGCAGACCGACACTGCTGCCCAACTTGGTGTCACCTGCAAACGTACTGAGGGTGCACTCGATTCCCTCATCCAGATCATGGATAAATATATTAAACAGAACTGGTCCCAGTACTGAACCCCGAGGAACATCACTTGTGACTGGCCACCAACTGCATTTAACTCCATTCACCACAGTGGGTGATTGCACATCACTGATGCAAAGACAGCACCACCCACTTCTGGCAGCGGGCTCCAGCCGGCGGCACAAATGCCATCACAAGTAATTGTAAGTAGCAGCTATTAGCAAGTTAAAAAAAATTAATTCTGTTGCAGAGACTAAATCTGATGTACTGAACAAAGTTCATCCAGTGGATAAAGAAACCACTGACCATCCTTGGATACCAGCTGAAGCTAGAGATAATCTGTGAACACATGAATGCTGGAGTGAAGAGCTTATCTACATCCCAAAGGCAAGTGTCTAAGTGCCCTTATCTGGCCCTGGAAGAGCACTTCAGCATTAAGAGACCTATTTTTAGGAAGAGGCATTTCTGGAATTCAAATGCAGATAGAAAACCAATTCCTAGTGCCAAGCCTTTTGTAGCAATACAAATATTTGAATATGTATCTTCAAGTGCATATTTGTTAATTAATACACTGAATATCGTTTCTGACTCCAGAGCTTATGGTCTGAATGAGGTAACAATGAAAGAGCAATCAAGTGTGCCATTTAAGAGACTATCCAGCTATACAGCAGGATTTTATTCCTTCCTGTACTGAACAAACCTTTATTGATTAATCTGTAAAGTGAGACAGCTCTAACTCATACTAGTCAAAAAAAAACCAAACCAAACCAAACCAAACAACAACAAAAAAAAACCAAACCCACAAGTACACCAGCAGTGAAACCTGCACAAAACTGTTCCTGGTGCCAGCTGAATATGCTGGGGAACTGGGGTTTGCTTTGTTACTTTGATATTTATCCCTCTTTTATAAGTTTTAGAGCAGGCTTAAATTTTTCCATCTCCTTTGTTCTTCTTCACACACATCTCTAGCTCCTCTTGACATTCCTTTACAGCACCCAAGGGTCAGGAATTTCTTGGTGAATTGATTTGTCCTTCCCTTCCCTTTTTCCCTTCCCTTTTTCTCTTCCCTTTCCTTTTTCTTTCCCTTCCCTTCCCTTTTTCCCTTCCCTGAGATGCAGTGAAACTCATATTTTTCCTTTCTCAGTTTAGAGGGTAAATTCAGCCAGGTTAGTGTGAGACCCAGGTCAGTCTCAAATATTTAATAGACATTAAGCTCAGGAGATAAAAGAAGAAAAATAGGCACAAATACAGGCTGGG